GGTATCCGGGGGTGCAGGGGTGCGGTTGGGTGGGAGAAATGTCTTCCAATGTTTTTTGGTGTAGCAGGATAAATATAATTGACAACAGTTGTGTACTTTAAAGCAACTAGTAGAGAGGATTTCGAATATTCCCAACACAAATATGTGATGCTTGATTTGGAGTATGTCACTTATCCTGATTTTATCATTACACAATGAATACAGTATTGAAACGTCACATTGTGTTTTCTAAATTTAAAATAAAGACAGTATTCACAAAGGAAGGAAGCTGGTGTTTCTGTATGTGGTGAGTTGTAGTTTGTAGATTTAAGTTGACAACGAGTGTATGTATTCAGGATCCAGTGAAAGAATATTCTGCTCTTTCATGAAGTTTTTGTCCTGATATTTTAGAAAATGTTAGATCTGTGGGCTGGGGTTGTGGCTCGATGGCTCACAGCGCTTGCCTCCAATGTGTGAGCACCATATGTAAATAAAAAATAAAGGCCCATCAACAATTAAAATGACTAAGTAAATGAAATTAAAAAAAAAGTTAGGGCTGGATCAGGATCAGCTCTTCATAGATTAAAAAAAAAAAAAAAGGAATAGCAATTCCTTCATTTATTGGTTACTTAATGTAGGTAAGGAGGCAGTTGAAAAGATGCCAGAGGTCCAGATCCTGCTTTAGGGACATTCCTGACAAGGAATGATAGAGGAGGGAGACAAATACATGGAGAGAAATTGTAGCAGATATATTTTAATAGATGTAGGAATAAAGAATTGCTAACACAGTAGTCAAACAGGTATATAGGACTATGCCTGGGACTAGAAATCTGATGTCCTAACTTCTAGTCCTGATCTATTTTATTCCTGATGCAATTCCAGGTATCTCCTGAAACCCATATCACCGAGTACTTCTTTCCTGTGTTTTCTTTGTAGAAAAATTGTTTACTGTGTTCCGAACACACAATAGTCCTCACAGCAATCCTCAGAGGCAGATAGAGTTATTCTCATTTTAAGATGAGGAAAGGGAAAGTTTCTTATAGATAGGTTAAGTGACTACTCAGGGCTACACAGCTAGTATGGCAGAGTTGACACAAAATGTCAGGGACCTCAGTATGTATGCTCCTGCATCAATCCCCTAACCATTGGCCATTAATGATTCTAAATCTAGATAGTAGCCTATATAGTATAATTTGTATGATGCAAATAAATAAAGGTTATTTGATTTAAAGTCATAGTAGCTCCTCCTGGAGTCAGAAAAGGCCCCTTGGCCCTGACTCATGGAAGGAGTGTCTGTTCTGTAGGTCTTTAGGACTGATTTTGCAGTAATACATCTTAATCATGTACAAAGAAGTTTGGTGGCTTCCCCCCTCCCCCTTTGATTTGTTGTGCTACTAATCTCCCCCCCACCTCATGTGACTCCTTTAAGAAGCGTGTGTATTCTATCATTCTTTGACTCAACCAGTCACACTTCTCAAACCAACACAAACATGGCAGGAGGCAATAAGTTCCTGAGACCTCATCACTGGCGATTCTCTAGGGCTTGGGCTGGTATTAATGGAAATGTACTCATACTGTTTTTCTCTTTCTAGGACTTGTTATGGTACTTATCTTTATGTAAAGTTGTATTAACGTGTTTACGTCTGTCCCACTGAGGTGGAAGCTCTTTAGTGTAGGGACTTTTGTTCACTGCTAAGTTAACTACCTAAAGTAGTATCAAGCATATGGTAGGAAGTCATTATTTGAATAAATAAGTTCAAATAAAATTTTAAATATTTGAATAAATGAGTGTTATGGAAGGCTCACGTGTAGATATAATAAGAGTTTAAGATTTGGGTGGCATTTTAAAGTACCCAGTTCTGTCACCATTATTGGGTTCTGGAGTCGTGGTACTCAGTATTGCTTCTCACCTCCTTGTATACCTTATTCCCTTCTCAGGATCTTTGTTTTAATCCACATGTCATTGTGTAATTTTTCCCCATTTGTAGGATCCATTGGTAGTTTTTATGGATGGAGGAACCTGTGTTTCTAGAGAACTGTGATGTGACTGGTATTGATCTCCTGTTTTACTCAGCAGCAGCAATGGACTCCTGTGGCTGACTTTACTCATCATGCTCACACGGCCTCCTTGTCAGCAGTGGCTGTGAATAGTCGTTTTGTTGTCACTGGGAGCAAAGATGAAACAATTCACATTTATGATATGAAAAAGAAGATAGAACATGGAGCCTTAGTACATCACAATGGTGAGAAGTTGTATCCTTTAAGATAATGTGGAGCTTTTATTACTGTATAGACTTCTGTTGGACTGTTTGTTATATGTCAGCAGATTCTGTTCTAGGAGGTACAGAATTGGGATAAAAAAGGTTGTTCACAGTCCTATTGGAGTAGGTTACAGTTGTCCTATTGGGAGGTAGATGGTCTCTTCTGTAATTTAGTCCTGTACACCCAGAGCACCACACTGTTCCCATTGACTGTTGTAGGTGTATGAAACTAAAATAGAGGAGGCAGACTTTCCTGCACTGGAGTTGAGGAGGTTAAGGATTAATACTTAACCATTCATGGTTGGATTTACCACACTGACGGTGAAGATGCCTAGGAGCGTGGCAAGATCAGAGGGTAGAGAGACTGAATAGGTAAATTTTTTTCCCCTCAGTTCCAAACATTTTACATTGTAGTCACTGAGTTTTCCAGGGGAAAGAGATAAGGGACTTACTGTGGGTTCAGGAGAGAAAAGTAAAGGTGAAACTTGAAAATAGTAGAATTGATTAGCTGCATATTAGTTTGGGGAAACTCAGCCAATGAGGTTGGTTTCTGGCAAAGAAAGATAGAATGTGTTCCCCTTTTCCTCACCTCACTTTGATATATTTCAGAGGTCACTGGGCATTGATTTTTAGCACTTAATTTGGAGTGATAAATGTTTGCCTTCTTCTGCACATTCCTCACCCTTTGACTGGTGTCATGCTCCTCAACAGAAGCTAGGGTTTGAGTGATTTCAACATAAAATTCCTTTTTCCTTGTGTCTCCCAATCCTAGTTCCAACAAGGAAGGCTTCTTTCTTAGGCTTAGAAGAAATAAGCTAAACAAATCTGATCAGTTCAAATCAATATTCAGAATAAAAAAAAGATTTACTTGTAGTTAGATGGGGGAGGAATGAAGTAGGATTCCTGGTTTCCTCTCTTCCTTGCATAATTCCTGGAAACTCCTTTTTGTGACATTTAGTATTAGATAAGCTCTTTTCTAGGGAGCATATGAGTCATGGGCAGAAGGAGCAGAAGATGTGGGAGAGCAGCATTTCCAAAGAAGAAATAGAATGACAGGGAGAGAGGAAAGTGGTTAATGGCTCCTATTTTTAGAAGAAGGTGTACATGAACCCACATATTAGTGCTTCTGTCACGTGCAAAATTATTCATTAGAGGTCTCTGGTTCTTTTCAATATCAAGTGTATAAAGAATTGCCCGGCAGGTGTATAGATGTAATGTGACCCACAGGTTTTCATTTGAATTCTGTAAAGAACCGAATAGTAAATATTTATGGACTATACAGCTTGTGTTGCTGCTGTGCAGAAGCAGTCCCATATGCTCTAACTGAATGAACTGGGGCTGTTTTCTATTAAAATTACATTTGCAGAGCCAGAATACCAGCCACTGTTGGCCTACAGGCAGCAAGTTTTTGACCCTTGAGCTATAGAGCAGCAGTAGAGTGAGGTGAGGTGACACAAATGTCAAAGGAATAGAGAATTTTAAAGATATGGACTACTTTGGGACTAGAATTTGATGCAACATGTGCATACGATTTCTGGAATTTAAAAGATGGTGGAAATGTATGGGAGATCCAGGCTTCAGTTTTGGTGGAGAGAAGGAAGTGTTGTTAATAGGTTGAAATGATGATGGAAAATTTATTTACCCTGGGAAGGAGTTTCCAGAGGAATAGCTGGAAAATTATCTTTTTATAAAATTGTTCTAAAATATTCCCATGGCAGTGAATGAGCAGAGTATAAAGTCAAATCATGATAATTCTAGGTCAATAATGATTGAATTATAGCTGATATAGATAACTCGTTATTTAGAAAGTGAGAATCATGGCTGTAAATTTTTTTCTTTGTTCTGTCCTCTAAATTAGCTGGTTAGGCAGTTGGTTTTGTTTTATTTCTGCTAAAATTATCCTGGCTAGTCATCTGGCTATGATATGATTATGGAGACAAAGTAAGAAAATGAACCAGTCCAGTTAGCTTAAATCTGTACCTAAAGCTGAAAGAATCTCAGATTATTTGCATAGACTTAAAACTGTATGTCCTTGAGTTGGGGTGTTCTCTCAGTTGTAGGGTGCTTGCTTGGTACGAGTAAGGCCTTGGGTTTAATCCCTAGCACTAGGAAAACCAAAACAAGCCAACAAACAAAAAAACTGTATGTTCTGGTATGAAACAACTGAACTATTTCATCTAACACTTGAAGTTTAGGTAAGATGAAGTTTACTTTATGGTTTAAATAATACTAGGACATTGTATGGTTCTTCCCGCCCCTGCAGTGCTGGGTATCTGGGGCCTTGTACCTGTTAGGTAAGCACTTACCATTTACCTACATCCCCAGCCCAGTGTTGTACTTAACTGGAAATAAAGTTTGTATTAAAAATGAAGATAATTTTGCCCATCTTGGTTTTTTGACAGGTACAATAACTTGCCTGAAATTCTATGGCAGCAGGCACTTAATCAGTGGAGCAGAAGATGGACTCATTTGTGTCTGGGATGCAAAGAAATGGGAATGCCTCAAGTCAATCAGAGCTCACAAGTGAGTTGGCTCTTTTCCATTGGCATTCTCACTGTGACAGTCAAGTTGGGGCCTAACTTGTTGGTTTCATTTTAGAGGACATGTGACCTTCCTTTCTATACATCCATCTGGCAAGTTGGCCCTGTCTGTTGGTACAGATAAGACATTAAGGTAAGTCATTAATTCTCAAAAGCATCTTTGTCAGTTGGCTGTTGTTTCTGTATTGTTCCAGTTTCACCCATTAAAAGATACAAAGAAAAGGTAGAAAGTTAGTGAACTGTTTCATGATAATGGGATAAAAATGGTCCATATTAAAACTTGCTGTTACGCTTCAATTGTCAATAGCTATGAAGAGCAAGGTGCTCCCAAAGAGGAATGTTTGTGGAGGTGAAACCTTTTGAAAATAACAATTGATATGAAATAGTAAACAGCTATGAGAATGAAATGAACTTTAATCCTGCTTGATAATAAAAAATTTGAAGATGTTGCTAAACTAAAGAAGGCAGGCCCTTTAAATTGCCAGTATTTAATAAATTTGATCAAAGCTTTATCATGCTTATGCTTTTCCATTTAGTATGTTAATTGATATTCATACCATAAGCAAGTTTCTTATTTTGCAGAACTTGGAATCTTGTGGAGGGAAGATCAGCCTTCATAAAAAATATAAAACAAAGTGAGTATTTTTGTTTAAAATATATTTTATAGTTACTTAATAGGTATGAACACATGCGCATGTGTATACATTTATTTCCTGCATTATTATAGTTGCCTCTGAAAACAAATGTTTTAGGTTATTTCTACCATTTTAGATCTGAGTTCTTGTAGCTCTGTCATGCGTCATCTGTATTCTCAATAATTCTTTGAATTCACTTCATTGTCTGAAATTTAATTTTCACAATGTGTTCCTTAAGTTTCTTGGGAAGATCAAATAGGAAAATGAGTGTGAAAATGCAGTACAAATACTTAATATTTTTACTATTTCTCATTATTTTTAAAATAAGTAAATTTGGCTTTTTTTAACTTACAGATGCTCACATAGTAGAATGGTCCCCAAGGGGAGAGAAATATGTAGTTGTTATACTGAATAAAATAGACGTCTATCAGCTTGACACTGCATCCATTAGTGGCACCATCACAAATGAAAAAAGGATTTCTTCTGTTACCTTTCTTTCAGTAAGTTATCAGAAATCAGTGATGGAAGTTTATGGAGATGGTCAGAACTGCTTATGACTTTCTGGATATTATTTTCTGTCCTAGGACTCTGTCCTTGCAGTGGCTGGAGATGAAGAGGTTGTCAGGTTTTTTGACTGTGATTCATTAGCGTGCCTCTGTGAATTTAAAGCACATGAAAACAGGTATTTTTCCCCCAACCTGTGTGTATATGTGTAGTCTCAGTAAATGTTATACATGGAATCATTTTATGAAGCAGAATGTTTTTATTAACAACCACAGAGATAATCAGACATATGTGTATATAATTTCTGGAGTTTAAAAAGATAGTGGAAAATGTTATCTTCCTGGATTTTGTAATGCAAAAGTGGACAAGTTGTGATCAGAACTAGTCATTTGCACTTATTTCAGATAAGTCTGTTAGACTTGGAGCCTGAAATAAGCATATTTGAAAAATCATAAACTAAGTGGTCTTGAACTTTGTCCCTGGCCACTCTTGTCCTTTTACTTAGTCCCCCTTGTCCAATTTCTCCTTTCCATACTATATTTTTCTCCTAAAGGAAAAAATGTAATACCATCATTGAATTCTATCTCTTAATGCAATAGATATTGAGTCTCCCAGTAAGTAGTTCATTAACTTGCCGAGATTACCCCAGAGGTAAGGAGCTAGTTCAAACCCAGTTCATCTGATTTGTGTCCCTGCTTTTTCCGCTGTAATTTTGAAAAATTGATGATAAAAGTGAAAAGGTGACAATAGTTATATATTAATGTGTTCCATCTGCATTTCTGCATGTTCTTCTACTTCTTAAGTTTTAATTCTCATTTTTGATTGTTTTTAGAAATCCATCTTAGTACTCAGAATCCTGCAGTCAATGTATAGGCCTTACTTTTTCCCTGTACTAGCAATAAACCACATTCAAGGAAGCCATTTCAAATGTATTTCTAAAAGAATATTTAGCCATTTGTTTGTTCATTTGTTTCCACAAGTGTTCATTGAACATCCAATTTGTAGTACTGTAAAAGGATTTTTTTTTTTTTGTGGTGCTTGAGGTGGAAACAAGGGTTTCATGCATGTTAGGCAAGCACTCTACCACTGAGTTATAGCTCAGTTCTGCACTAGGTATTTAAAGATGAACAAAAGTGACAAGACCTTACACTCTTATGGCTCTTCTATTGTATGAGGCAGTAGGTTTTAAACAAGTAGATCTTTATAACAAGGGTAATTTACTTAGATAGGCTGATGAGGGGAGAATTTCAAGGGTTAAGCAAGTCCTTAAGGATTATAAAAGAGTGAGATGTTTTTGTTTTTTTGTTTATTTTCCCCGTGGTCCCGAGAATGGAACCCAGGGCCTCATGCATACTGATGCTAAGATATACTCCCCAGCTCCAAGGAACTGAGGGAGGAAAGAACTTAATGTATTTTAGGAACAAGTAGAAGACCTGCATGACTCTTATCGGAGTGAGCAAGGGAGAGGATTTTGGGGATCAAATGGTGCTTGGGTTTATTGGCAGAGTGAGGAATTTGAATTTTATGCTGTGTCTTTGCAGATTTTATTCTGTTTACTTTGTGGGGGGTGTGGAGTGCTGGGGTTCAAACCCAGGGCCTCTTGCATGTGAGGCAGGCAAGTGTTCAGTCACTGGGCTATTTTGCAGCCCGTTTTGTGTACTTTTTAAGGAAAATTAAAGACAAACAAACTAGTTTATAAAGAGCCAACTCAGACCCACTACCAGCTTTAGCAGTTGCCACTTTAGGGCCAGTATGGCTTCTTTCATATCACCAGCTACTTCCTCCTCTCCCATATTCTTCTAAAGCAGATTTTAGTTTTGGGGGGCTTTAAGCCTGAGAGTAATAAGATTTGATTTCATTAAAAGAAAAAAAATAATAGAGAAAACTTAGGGGGAAGAATAGAAGCAGAAAGGCCAAATAGGTGACCTCCATAATGTAGAAGAAAAAAGCAGTTTGGAAGTAGTGGCACTGGAGATGAAGGAATTGGGTGCATCAAAGGGAACCTTGATCATCCTTCCTATTGTCTCCTCACTGCACTTCTCAGAAGTGCTTGAGGTGAGGGTTTTGTTATCATTACTTCCTGAGATTGTTTACAGTTATCGTCATTTTGGTTTGTTCTTAATCAAATAGTCCATTTTAGCCTATAGTTGGCCTGAAAACAACTCACTGATCAGTGGGAATGTGTGGCAAAATTACATTTTAGGGCTTCATTGAGCAGTTTGCAAATACTGAAGCATTGGAAAACAAGAGACTAGCTTATAAGTTTTATAATGATGATCACACTCTGGAGAAAAGATCTTTTATGGCATTAATATTTCTATCCTAGGGTAAAAGACATTTTCAGTTTTCAAATTCCAGAGCATCATGTTCTTGTTACAGCATCAAGTGATGGTTTCATCAAAATGTGGAAGCTAAAGCAAGAGAAGGTCAGTATCTTAGTACAATAGAGCATAAATACACTGTAATGCAAGTCTTGCTGCTAGTGCCATTTTAAGTTGATCGAGGTGGAATTTTTTTAAGGATAAAGACCATAGATGTAAATTTTATAAATTTCTTCCAGGAATGATTGATATTTATTCTTTTAGAGTTAGGTTCCCACAGGGCTGCCTTAGGGCTGGCATTTGTGAATCTGAGCTCAGGATCTCAGACCTCCCTCTGCATTCCATCTACTTGGTCTTTTTTTTTTTTTTTAATGTATTAGGGTCCTCTGTAAGGTATTAGGTGGGAGGACTGCCACTACTGAAAACAATTGGGAAGGTTCTAGTCTGTTATGGAACTAACAGTAGCTTAGAACCAAATAACTAAAAAATTCAATTTCCTTCTGTAGATCTAGTTTATTATTTTTCATTCTTTGATATCTATTCTGTGGATATGGTTTATCAAGTGGGAGCACTTTGCAAGCCTCTCTGTTAAATCTAGAAATGAATAAGGCATAGTCTGTTTCCTTAGAATCTGTAATTTCTGGATACTTCTCAGAAGTTTGCTCTGTGAACAACAGAGTTGAACCAATCATGAATCAAAACAAAAGATTATTTCTAAATAGCATGTTTTATGCTCAAGAAAATACTGGCATGCATCTTGTAATGGTGGGGTTATATTCCACAAAGTGCGTTGTAGATGATTTTAGCATTTTGTGAACATCATGGAGTATATACAAACCTGAACGGTAGAGGCAACCACAGAGCTAGGCCCTGTGGCATGTACCATTGTATATGTAGTCTGTCATTGATTGAAACCTTGTTTTACTGTGTATAATTGTACAATAAATTTTAAATTAAGATATCTTGGTTCTTTAAAATAATTATTCAGAATTCCTCTGTTAGATATGAGTTTTCCCCTCTTCTGTTTTAGAACGATCCCCCATCTTTACTCTGTGGAGTGAACACAAATGCCAGGCTGACGTGTCTTGGAGTATGGTTAGACAGAGGAACAGACACAAAAGAGAGGCCTCCTCCAGCAGCAGAGCCTTCTTCTGGTAAGTGAAATTGGTCATTTAAAAAATTCAAATTCTGTTACCTTTTGAGTTGTTGAAGTGGCGGATATCCACACAATGTTACTTTATTGTTAGCCTGTTTAATTCATTAATAAACAGGGAAAACAGTCTTTAAATGTGCTGTCTCTTGTGTTTTAGTTAATACAGAACAGTCCAAGATCAGCAAGAAGGACTCAGGTGACATGGTGCAACAAGAAGACACATTAAAACCTAACTCAAAGAAATGTGGTTTAAGTGGTGTCAGTAATAAGCCAGTGAAAGGAAATATCCTGTCTGCCAGGAAGAGGAAGATGGTAGAAATGCAAGAAAAGAAGAAGAGAAAAAAGAAAATATAACTTATGCACTGAATCCCAGATTGATTGGTTCCAAAAGAACTCCTTTTTTTAATGGAATCATCTTTTAAATATATCTAAATATTATTTTTTTTCTGAGTAAAGGCAAGGAATTTCTTTTTCTGGAGAAAATGTACAGCTTGGAATACCACTTTTAGATGTTTTTTTTAATGTGCTAAAATTATTTTTGGCACCTTTGGCCTACATGTTATTAATTATATAGAGAGGTATATATGTTAATTATAATATGTAATTTTTATTGTGTATAAAATAAAGCTCTTTCCCCAAATATGGCAATTTAAAATAATGCGAAATCTTGAACATAGTGTTGGAGATCCAATCCAGGGCCTTAAGCATGTTAGGCAAGCACTCACTGTACCTCTTAAGCTGCTGCACCCCCAGTCATCTGAACACATTCTTTACTAGAGATAAATAGAGGTTATTTTTCAAACTATTCTTCCAAGCAGTGAATGGCAAGAAAATTTAAGGGCAGGAAAATGACATTTCCCATAATTTTTGCATCCCTTTCAGGTATCAAACCTTAACTTGGGTAATCTAACCAAAGTGGTCTTAGAAAACTAAGTGTGCGGTTGACTTTCAGATTCTGTTCTAAGGCACTGATTTATTTCAGTCCAGCTCCAGTGTCACATAGTCTTGGTTACTTTAACTTTGTAGTAAACTTTGGAATCCAGGAGTGTGATTCTTGCAACTTTGTTTTTGAAAATTATTTTGTGCCTATTTCATCCATTGGATTTCTATAGGGATTTTGAGATCACCTTGTCATTTCTGTAAAAAATCTTGATAGCATTTCGACAGGAATTGTATTCAATCTATAGATGAAGTTTGGGCATATTGCGTGTCAAAACCTGGCCAAAGGACATCATTTATTTAAGTCTTCCTTGTTATCTTTCAAGAATGATTTCAGCTTCTAAGTTTTGTATTTTTGTTAAACTCTTTTTTTTATGCTATTGCAGATTGAATCTTTTTTGTGATTTCATTTTTAGATCATTTGTGCTAGTTGTCTCATTTTAATATGCTGTATTTTCATTCAGTTCAATGTATTTTTTTCTGTTGAATTTTTCTCTATGATGCATAGATTATTTTAAAGTTCTCAGTTTCCTGTTTTTTTTCTGCTTATTGATTTAATTTGATTCCATTGTGGTTTGAGACCATACTTGATGTGACTGCAGTTCTTTTAAATTGGTTTCATGGCCCAGGATGTTATCTGTCATGGTAGATATTTTGAACCTGTATCCTGCTGTTGTTGGCCAGAGTATTCTATAATGTCATGAGATTGTACTGTTGATGGGGTTAGGTTTTTCTATGTCCTTGCTGATTTTCGGTCTACTTGTTCTGTCATTACGAAGGGAGGTGTGTCAATGACTCCAACTTTAGCAGTTGTGGATTTGCTGATTTCTTCTGCCAAGTTCCACTGGTTTTTGCTTCACATTTTGTGCATCTCTAGTGGGATATATAGCACATTTAGAATTTTTACTGTGTTGGCGTTTTGATTCTTTTTCATTATGTAATATCACTGTCTGATATTTCTTGGCTCTCAAGTCTACTTCAGCTGATATTTTCCAAACTTTACTTTTAGCTGGCCTATACTTTTACATCTGAAGTTTCATAGGCAGCAAATAGTTGTCTCCCTCTGCCCACTTCCCTTTTGGAGAAATGGTTTTGGTGTTATCCAGGCTGACCTTGAACTCCTGGGCTTGAATGATTTCTCTTGCCTCATACTCCT